ACCATTTCCAAATGGCCCATTTTCTGCAGCCTTGGCACAAGTTGATTCATCCCATGGACAGCCATTTGATGAACCATTGAGATGAGTTTCAATGGGCACCCAGCGCAGCAGAACACACTTTTCAAACCATGGTAAGCCATTTTCATGAGCCCACTGGACAATTTCTAGGTGACCTTCCTTTGCAGCATTCAGGTATACATCACCATTCAAGGGACTGCCATTCTCGTGGGCATATTTTAGGATACCCAAGTGTCCCTCCTTGGCTGCAATTGAGAGGATATTAGCATGCCTTGGACAGCCATTGTCATTGGCATACTTCAGGATTTTGACATGCCCATGGCGTGCAGCAGTCCAGGAAACACGATCGTCCCATGGACATTCATTCTCATGAGCATACTTGAGCACATCAGATGCCCATTCCTTGCAGCAACACTGCATGTTAATTCATTCCACGGGCAGCCATTCTCATGCACCCATTTCAGCAGCTCCAAATGCCCATGCTGTGCTGCTTGCAAGCAGGTATTTGTATTCCACGGACATCCATGCTCATGAGCATACTTTAGCACACCCAAGTTGCCATTGAGAGCAGCATTACTGCAGGTGTATTCATTCACGGACACCCAATGCTCATGAGCATACTTTAGCACATCCAAGTGGCACTGCCTGGCAGCATTACTGCAGGTGTTTTCATTCCATGGACACCCATTGCTCATGAGCCATTTGAGTATATCCAAGGTCCATTTGCGGCAGCAGCAGCACATGTCTCTGAATGCCATGGGCAGTAATTTTCCCGGGCATACTTTAGAATATCCAAATGTCCTCCTTCGGCAGCAGCATAACATGTCATACTGTCCCAATCGCAACCATTTTCATGGGCATATTTCAAGATGTGGAAATGGCCATGCCCAGCAGCTATGTAACAAGTTCTTGTATCCCAAGACCAACCATTCTCACGAACCCATTGGAAGACTGCGAGGTTTCCGCTTTTGGCAGCCAAAGTGGCAACTCGCAGAATGCTGCTGTTTCTTTTGTTGTGTTCCTTCCTGTTGTCAGCATTCCAATACTTGGTACAAGAAAGACTTGTGAACACTGCACTATAGAAGGTATCCGTGCTGGTTGCTCTGCGAGTTCGAAGCCGGTCCCCGAACTTTGGGTCCCTTACTTTTTCTATCATGTCTTCCTTTAGTGCTGCCCAATATGCTTGATACAAGTCTTTGAAACGGTGGCACACAGCTGCCACAAACGCAAAGTGTCCGCTCCCCACAAACGGAAGGATCCCGGTCACCCAAAGATCCGTTTGATCCAACAACAGCAGGATATCGGGACGCCGCTTCTCCTCTTTTGCTCCTGACGCCGAGGACATTGTATCTATCTGTATCTGTAGCTAGTCCTTACCGAGGACAATTAGCTAATAACAGATTCGATTCACACATCAACAGCTTGTTTGTCGTCGAAGTTGTGTGTTTTGTGGGGCTTCTTCTATCAGGTGTTCCTCGCTTGTGTTCGGTTAAGGTGGACGCCCAAACGTAATAAGCCAGCGGAAGGCTGTTTTTAAATGGTAGTGGGCGCAGCACTGATTATCACGAGAGATCGAGCGATATAACAAAGAAATGAAGAACTCGACGTTGCTGTCTAAAGGTGGGCTGGAATCAAGAAAGAGTGCATCGATCGGACTTCTATCCATACAATACGTCTGTCTAATAGTATGAGGGAACAGTTGGTGCTTGGTATTTGTCCGTCGTTCCACTCCACCTGATTGCATTCTTCGGTCGATCGATGCTTTCTGTCGCGACCGATTCTGCTGCTTGCAGCCGATAAATCTCAATGAGTGCTCGTCGTATGGCCCCAGAACCAAGAGCTACTCTCTTCCTTATACTATTAGCAAGAGATAATGCTTTGGTTCTAGGGCCATACAGTCAGCGGCCATCAAGAGAATGAGCTCTCTAACAGTGGAAGGGTGTTTTTCGTCTGATAGCAATTTTGTTTGTTCCAATTGCACCTTGAGGGAATCTTGCTTTCCGTGCAGTGGGAATTTGAATCGTTTGAATTCAAGCTGGAATCCGGTGAGTGAGTCCAATCCGTGTTCTTTGTACTATTTTAGTATAGAAGACAATTCGGCGAGCCGGATCGGCCACATCGCATCCCAAAAATGTGAGAGCAAATTTTGAATGTTCTGAACCTTGAAACCGTTGCTTTGGAGAGAACACCTCCATACGACGATAGATCGCTCCAGTGCTACCACCGATAGCAACAACGTACAGTACATACGTTTTGGAAACACGAGCTCGATGCATTACAACGTTACAGCTAGCTAAGCTAGCTGCCTACTACTAGACAGCTAGCTAGATAGTCTTGGAGAGATCCTCCACATCACTGTCTAGGTCTTCCTCATCAGATGTGTCATCCTGGTCTAGCATTGCAAGATGCTCTGTTCCAGGCACTACAGTGTCTAATGGCAACTCCTCCAAAAATGACAAATCCTGGGCCCCATCCTGTTGCAAAGCTAGCACATCTTGGGCTGCAGCATCCTGCCCATCAGTTTCCTGGTTGATTGTAGGAATAGCAGCTGCAGCACTAGTTGGCCCTTGTGGAGATGCCTCTGCCACAATGTCAGCTAGCTTCCTGCCAGTCTCCTTGCAGTAGATTGGTGGTGCTTCAATATTACTCTTGCCAACCTGAAGGCAGGCCTTGGCTCTTTTGGTGACATGACCAACTTTGCCGCAGAAGGAACAATACTGCTTTGCCTTTTTTGCTTTCTTACGAACTGGAGGCATCGTCCTGAGATCCTCCATTGTGACGTCAGCCATATTGAGGCCGGTGTGGTAAACGCCCGATGATTTTGCAAACTTGGTTTTGAATTCTTCCGTAGCGTTGACCAGTTTCTCGTTTTTCCTCTTCTTGCGCCCCTTTTTGTAGTCAGTCGTCTTCTTCCTGGCTTGTCGCTTTTCCCGGTTTCTCTGCACAATTCCCAAGTAGTGAGTCAATTCGTCTGTCATGTCAATTCCAAGCTTGAACAGTAGCCACCGATAGAACTGCTCGTAGCCAATCGAATGGATGCAGACCGCAATACCGAGGCGATTGGCAAGGGAACAAGAGCTTGCAAAAACCTTGTTCTTCGGAGCAAACCAGGTCGCCAAGCTATTGAACGATTCGTTGGCATTGGTATCCAATCCGTGGGCCAATTCCTTCAACCGCTGCAACGTAATGTATTTTGAAACGATTGCGTCCAGTAGCTGGTAGAGTTCTGAATCCTCCTCCTGCGTTCTGTAAACCTTCTTGCTTTTCTTTTGCTCGTGCTCCGTCTCTTTCGATCGAGCACACCAAGCTCCACAGTTCGTATGGCTGTCAAAGTGGTGATCCAACACCGCCTTGCCACGGCTTTCGAATTCAGCTTCCTCGATCTCTTGGAGCGTACGAATAAAATAGGCAAAGTTCTTGCCAATACGGATAGAATCCATTCGGCACATCCCCTTCTTCTTTTCGACTGTTGACAGATCCAAACGGATCAGCTCACCCGTCAACTGTTTGCGGCGGTGGTTCGGATCCGCCACAAACTTTGGCTCTGGGATATCACCCGGTAATTTGCCTTTGTCGGGGCGTTCCTGGAGCTCGCCCTTGTTCTTCCCTTTCGTAATCTTGACCATGGGAAGAACGTCGGTCTGATAGTTGATTTTGTAGTTAGCGTTGCTCCATTGCAAGTCAGCTCGGATGGATGAGTCGTCGTCACAGCACAATCGACGCAAGATAACTTTCGACTCTCGGAAAAATCCAACGACAAGCTCCAAAGCAAGAGCTGCCTCCATTGACCCAGACGAGTCATTTGGATTGTGGTTCCGGGTGCAAGTGTGCTCCGGAACTGGTGGACGGTTGTCAGTATCAGTATCCGCATGCCGCTTTGCCCAAGCAGTGCATCGGCTGCAAACCTTGCTCTTGATGCCAAAAGAAATGATCTTTCTCGTAATGGCACCAACAATCACACCGTGGCCTGACACGGAATTACGCAAGTGACCGGATCCCTTCTGTTGCCACGCCATATCGTAAGCCCCGTCGACAAACGGCATCTTCTCCTTGAGTAGCGTGCCGTTGGGATCGTTGACCGCTGCCATCCAATCTAGAAAAGCTTGCTCGTTGGCTGTCGATTTCCGCACCTCCTCAACTAGATTTTCATGGATGACTTCTTCCATCAACTCCCGAATGGATGGTGCGATTCGTTCTTCAATTATTCCGAATGAACGAGTTTGCATGGTTGTGTCGTTTGGTAAGCCCAAAAGACCGAGGATTCTTGCACATTCGGTTCCACCGCCACCATTCGCCATTGTGCCTAATACTAACATCACATTCACGGCATGATCTGTACTCCTTTCAACTTTGTCGTAGCCAGTGGCATTTGCATGCATTGTTGTTTGGGTTGGCTTTTTGCTCGTATAAACGTAGTCGCAATTATCAATGGCACATTCCAGTTTGAATGACGAAGCAATACAGCAATTCCGGACGCTCATTTGGAGGAAGCCATTGCAGCCGTCTCTTGGGCACGTCATCTCCCGGAAACATTGGTCCAATTGATCAATTTCAAAGATGGCTCGTTTATGCGGCTTTGTGTTGAATGTGGGCTTGGTTTCTCCCTCATTTTCTCCCTCATTTTCCTCTTCCGTGGTACCGCCTTCTTCGTCTGCTGCCACCTCTTCAAGCGCCACATCTTCAAACTCCGGTGCAGTTGGGTTGTCTTCGTCGTCACTCGGTTCCTCACCGTACCAACGCCTCAAGAAATTTGGCCTTCCTTCACCGTTGTGCCTTGTCCTCGAGTTTACAGTGCCATTTCCAGGAAGCTTCTTCCAATCTCCATCCTTTGAAGCTAGCTTGGCTGATTCAGTAGAGGCGTTAGCTCTCCAGCGTGCTGGTGTTGCTCCGTGAGGGGTATGCGGTGAAACGACTGCAGGGGGTGGCGACATTAGACTGAGTTGACACTATTATGCGGGCAGTCTGGTCAACGAAATGTATTCGGGTCAAGAACATCCAAAATTTGGCGGTCACAGGTCAGGTTGAATGGGTCGACCGGCTTGGCATGGATCAAAGACTTAGAGACGAAGATAGAACAGGTGCGCGAAAGCTCGAATTTTGGCTCGAATCCAGCGACAGCCAAATTCGCAATTGAGAACCTCAATCCGGTGAGTATATGACGGATCCAAATTCCAAATTCCTGAACATATGCGAAAGATATGCGAAAAAATGTTGTTTCGTACGTCATTATAATTACCAGTCTATGGCTGGCTTATTACGTGTGAGCGTCCACCTTAACCTTCTGTACCGGTATTCATATGCCCACTACTGGGTCGTCTCCGTTTCCAGAAATAAGGTTGAGGATTACAAGTATTGAAACAGTATTCGCGCGCTCCGCGCGCTCATCCCTTTCTTGCTTCGCCACGAAACAGCTCCCTCGCTCATTCATGCGAAACTTGTGTGAAAATAAAGGCTCCCTCGCTCATTCATGCGAAACTTGTGTGAAAAGCGAGGCGACTTTCATGTGCATGTACATGCGTTGACTGTATCCCGTCAATACAATACTAGTCAAATACGTAGACTTCTACAGAGGCCTCTAAGTATTGCACGCCGGGTATAATTCAAACCTCTGCCCCCAACAGTACCCTTACCCCTAAAGCAAGTCGTCTCCGGGAGACGAAATTCGGTTTGCACCATTCGGTTTAGTGATCTCTTCTCCCACGTTGCGCGCCCTCACGCCGCTTCATCATTGTCTGTAATTTCTTTCTTCGCGCTCTGCGTCCAAGGAACAACGACAACAGCCAAACTAAAACCTCATTATCGGTAGCACAAACTAGCAGAGCAAGAGAGCAAGCTTCGTAGTTGTGGTTGTTGATTGACAATGGCGGATCCATCACCCTCAGCAATAGTACCCGAAGGGAAACCCAAGGAAGATGACGACGATCAGTCGGATGTGGAGCTGGAAGGCATGGACGTGGATGATATCGTGGAAGAAGATGCCGACGATGAAATCATGACGACAAAGACGGATGATACCGAAGAGGAAGCGAATAATACTAATGATAATGCGACCAACAGTGAAGCATTGCAAGCAGAAGATGCAGAAGAGCTAGAAGCCGCCAAACGAGAACGAATGGAATTGCTGGCAGCCAAAAAGAAAAAGGAACAAGAAGCCGAAGCGCTGGATCCCAGCAAGAAATTTGACTTTTTGGTGGCCCAATCGGATGTCTTTGCGCATTTCTTGGCCGGATCCGTGGCCGCATCGTCAAAGAAAGGCAAGAAGGGCTCTCGTGGAAAAAAGGGTCGCTTGACGGAAGCCGAAGAAGATGCCCAATTGCTCAAGACATCCCAGTCCAAGCGTCGCACTGTGCGATTGGAAAAACAACCTGGAATCTTGTCCAGTACCGTCACCATGCACAAGTACCAACTAGAAGGACTCAATTGGATGATCAAATTGCATGACAGTGGAATTAATGGAATTCTAGCTGATGAGGTGAGTACAAAAAAGTTAGACCATATGGGACTTGGCCTTATCATATATCTGACACGCTTTTGTTTCCACATCCACGGACCAATGACACACCCAATCTAATCTGCTCACTCGATAATACAATACAATTATAATTTGTAGATGGGCTTGGGCAAAACACTACAATCCATTTCCCTCTTGGCATGGTACCGCGAGTTCCGCGGGGTCCGTGGTCCCCACATTATCATTGTCCCCAAGAGTGTGGTCGGAAATTGGTGTCGCGAATTCAAAAAGTTTTGCCCCACAATCAAAGTTGTCCGTATGGGAGGCACCAAAGCCGAACGAATCAAGGTTGTCACACAAGACTTGCCGCCCGATGAACATGGAAAATACAAATTCGATGCACTCGTCATGTCCTACGAGGCACTTTTGAAAGAACGGGGAAGACTCTCCAAAATTCACTGGAAATATCTCATGATTGACGAAGCCCATCGCATCAAAAATGAAAACTCGTCACTCAGCAAAGCCATTCGCACCATCAACACCGAACATCGATTGCTCATTACCGGAACACCGCTCCAAAATTCCATTCACGAACTATGGGCATTGCTCAACTTTCTCATGCCCGATATTTTTGGGGATGCCGCACAATTTGACGAGTGGTTTAGTATGAATGATGAAACGGGCAAGGAAAATACTATTAAAAAGCTACACACGGTCTTGCGACCATTCATGTTGCGGCGCATCAAGGCCGATGTCGCCACGTCGTTGCCGCCCAAGAAAGAAACCAAACTCTACATTGGATTGACCAAAATGCAACAAGAGTGGTATGTCAGGGTACTCCAAAAGGATGCCCATGAACTCAACAAACTAGGTGGACCTTCTCGAGTGGGACTCTTGAATGTCCTCATGCAGTTGCGAAAGGTTTGCAATCATCCTGTGAGTTGAAAGAGAGGCAATTATCAGCCGTGTATGTTTTGGTTCTTTCTTGTTGCAGGAATGACTTGAACTAACTCACATTCATTCATTCATTCATTCGACAGTATCTCTTTGATGGAGCCGAAAAGGGACCTCCGTATGTGGACGGACCTCATCTGTGGGAGAATGCCGGGAAACTACAACTCTTGCACAAGCTGTTGCCCAAATTGAAACAGAAGGGTTCGCGAGTGCTCATCTTTTGTCAAATGACGCGTGTTCTAGACATTCTGGAGGTAATTCATAATGTCGTTCACTGTAATGATTGTTGTTTGCTTTGCTTTGCTTTGCGCTTGCCAACTGATTTGCTCTCTCTCTCTCTTTTGCGGACGGAATAGGATTATTTCCGGTTTCTTGGCCATGAATACTGCCGCATTGACGGAAACACGGACGGTGAAAAGCGAGACTCACAGATGGACGAGTTCAATGAGGAAGGGTCCACCAAGTTTTGTTTCTTGCTCAGTACTCGTGCTGGTAGGTGCAGGCTTGTCGAATAAGTCCTCTTTCCATATCATTTCAGCTCCTCTAACCCAAGTCTAATTTCTGCCTTTGTAGGAGGACTCGGAATCAACTTGGCCACCGCCGACATTGTCATTCTCTACGATAGTGACTGGAATCCTCAGGTGGGTAACCAGAAGTATTCAATAAAGTTGTTCCGCCTCAGGAGACCTTTCTCATATTTTGACTTACTTGTACACTCTAAAGGTCGACCTGCAAGCAATGGACCGTGCCCACCGAATTGTAAGTGAGGCTTGCCAGTTTTTGCAGATGCAATCGTTGAGCTTATTATCTGACTTCCTGGTGTTGTGGCTGCGCGTTACAGGGTCAGAAAAAGCCTGTGCAAGTGTTCCGGTTTGTCACCGAAGGGACGGTAGAAGAGAAGATCATTGAGAGAGCAGACCGAAAGCTCTTTCTCGATGCCGCCGTCATCCAGCAAGGCCGTCTTGCCGAGCAGCACAATTCGCTAGAGAAAGATGATTTGATGAAAATGGTCCGCTTTGGAGCCGACCAAATCCTCAGTGGAAAGGGAGGTACCTACACTGATGAGGACATTGACGCGTTGATTTCGCGAGGAGAGGAGCGCACGGAAGCCATGCAAGCCAAGTTGCAAACCGATGCAAAGCACAACTTGGCCAACTTTAGCTTGATTGCTGACGATGATAACGGAACGGACACGTTTGCCTTTGACGGAAAGAACTATCGTGGTGCGGACAAGGGCAAGGGGAACTTTATCAATCTGCCGCAACGACAGAGAAAGCGCAACTACGATGTGAACGAGTACTTTCGTGAGACGATGAATACAGGGACGACCAGTGGCCTCAAGGCACATGCTGCTGATGCTGCCGCCAAGAAACGGAAGAAGGGAAGTAGTTTCCAAGACTTCCAGCTCTTTGACTCCGCCCGCATCGAGAAAATCAACGAATTGGAGCGTGAGCTTGCCACAAAGAAGGAAGCACAAGTGGCAGCCATCAAACAGATGCGAGAAACAATTAAGCATGCTCCCATGATGGCCTTGGGCGCTGCACCTGGACAGAGCAAAGAGGAACTCACCAAGCTGGCTGGTGAGATGGAACAAAAACTATCAGAATTCAAACTCCCAGAAGAGGCGGAAGCAGAACGGAAGAAACTCATGAATGACGGCTTCCCGGACTGGAGTCGAAAGGACTTCAAGGTAAGTCTCATTTGCGGCTTGCCAAGGAAAGTGACGGGCTTGGCTGCCTCACCGACAGTTTTCAATCTTGCTTGCAAAGTCGTTCTGCAATTCTTTGGAACGTCACGGTCGTTATGATTTTCCGAGTATAGTGAAGGATGTTGCATCGGAAACAAACAAGGATCGAAAGGAAGTCCAGCGATACTTCGTGGCGTTCTGGACCAAGTACCGACTCATTGGGGATTGGAAGAAGATCGTCGAGCGCGTCGAAAAAGGAGAGAAAAAGATCCTCCGACTTCGTCAGGTCAGGGACGCCATTCAGGAGAAGGTGGAGCGACACATTGAGGACACGTTTGGGCCTCAACTGGAAAAGCTAGTGACCGTCGGAGACGACGGCAAGAAGCGTATCCCTTCCTATGCAGAACTCATCCAGAGCTCTTGGCCTAGCATGAAGATCAACTATGGCAACACGACGCGGGGTCGTTCGTACCAAGAGGAGGAAGACGCTTTCCTGCTTTGCATGATGTACCGCCATGGCTTCGGTGCGGCAGAGCGCATCCGGATGGAAATTCGTAAGGCCTGGCAGTTTCGGTAAGAGAATGCGCTCGTTCTGCTGCAAAGATACATGGTCGTATATTATCTTACGTTCTCTGATGTGAACAGGTTTGATTGGTATTTCAAATCCAGGTCAACTGCCGAAATACAGCGGCGATGCGAGGTGCTAGTTCGAATTATAGAGCGGGAAAACGAAGAGATCAGGAAGAAGGAACAAGAAGAAACACAGAAGGCAAAGGAAGAGGAAGGCTCCGCTGAGGCTGCTGCCCACCCGGCTGAAGGTGATGCTGGCGAGGAGAGCTCATCTGCGGCGTCGGCGTCTCCAGTTGCAGCTGCGCAGCAAAACTAGGCGAAGTTTGGGTGCATCACTATTGCATCTGGCTACAGCTATTCAGGAGAAAAAGGGCAAACAACCATGCTGCTGCTGCAGGTAGATAACTTTGGGAAAAACTAAATTATTGTCCACGAACGCAATAGCGTTGCCTCTCTTAAGAAAATTGGAGTTTGTCGCATTCTCGAAATCTCCCTCTGGAGACAGGCGTGTTACCTCTTTCGCATCAAAACAAAACCTGCGACAACAGCCACAGCTGCAACAACCACAGAGACTTTGAAGTAAGGGCTTTCCAGAATGGAAGCCTTCTCTTCAACGCTCACAGACAGATCCGAGGCCACCATTTTGGTGCAGATTGGGTGGTAAATATGCTTATTCGCCAGAAAGGTCTCGACCGCCAAATCAGATGCCATCTTGGACCGAAACAAAGCTTTGTATAATGGTCTTGTGAACTTGAGTTTGTAGGGACAAGTGAGAACAGTAGCACAGAGCCTTAGCATCCAGGAGGGATCCACTTGCTTTCCATCACTTACCTTCATGCGGCCTTGTGTTGTGACAAACCGAAGGGCAATCGGCACAATGTCCTTATCTTCTGAGGCAATGGCTAGTTCGCAAAAGCGAAATAGCACCTCTGAATTCTTGGTCGACTCGAACCCATACTGCTGTTTCATGGCTTTGAGAGTATCTAGTTTGAGTGGCTGGTCTTCACAGAGATCCAATAGAGCATCGAGGAAGCAAGTTATCTGATCTGATGACCAATCCTTCAAGTTGACACTAGGCACCATGTTTCCGGACCTGTCAACTTCAAACCAAGCAATCGCAAGCTTTTCAGAAGCCTCTGCAAGGGTTCGGTCAAACTGTGGTTTTTCCGGAGGCATCCCAGAGCTGTAGAACCAGGTATTCCAGTCAAAGTCTTTGACCTTGGCATTGGTCTTGAAATGTTGATTGAAGAATGCTCTGAACTCTTCAGATGTAACAGTTTTTGATGCAAACTTGGAAACATAAGCCTGAAAGAACTTTTCAAATTCAGGGGTCCCAACTCGTGTCTCCAGTGCAAAGAGGAGGTTGAAGCCTTTCTCATAGGCTAGGGGGAGATGGTGAGCAAAGGTTACAAGCCTTAACCATTGAGACCCACAGAACACGCGCACGTACCAACCGACGAGTAGGAATCATCAGGATCCAAATCGCCGACGTCCAGCACCAATCGACTGAACTCATCAGGCACTTCTCTCTTGATGGTGTCTGTAAGAGTTTTGTATCCCCCTATGGCATCAAAATGCAAGAATTTGTCATCTTTGTGAATCCGTGCCATGATTTTCCGTTGAAACCAGGTGGTCCATCCCTCATTGAGCCAGAAATGGTCCCACGTTGAATTGGCTGACAGCGTGAAGGCACAAGGAACGAATGAGACAACGACACTACTTGATTGCATCAAATACAAGGTGACTCATCGACTTACTGACTAGATTCCCAGTCCAAGAGTGGGCTTGATGGAGAAGCAAGACATGTAAAGTTAGACAAATCAGAAGCACTTTCAGCCCACTTAAGTCAAAAATCTGCGGCTTACCAATTTCATGTGCTACAACATCTGCCAATGAGCGATCTCCAGCAAGCAATGTGGGTGTCACAAAGGTAAGACAGGGATTCTCCATGCCTCCATAAGGGAAGGAAGGCGGCAGGCACAATAGATCATATCGACCCCAGACATACGGCTTTCCCGCTATTTCTTCGGCAATTTTGAGAAAATCTTCAGTCTGCGAAAATTCCCAGGCTGCCTGTTTGACAACAGATGGCTCACTCCAGACAGCACATCGTTCGCTTATATCAATTTTGGTCAATTCTCCAACCGCCATCGCGATAAGATAACTGGAGATTGGAACGGGTTGATCCCAGTAAAAAATTTTTGTTTTGTCGTTGGTTTCCTCCTTTTTCATGACTGCGGACATGACACAAGTGGCCCAACTAGGGACAGTCACCTTGGCCGAGTAGGTAGCCTTGATGCCCGGTCTATCCTGACAGGGGATCAAGGCTCGAGCGTGAATGGCTTGGCATTGTGTGAAGAGATAGGGGTGTTTTGCTCCAGCAGTTTGTTCAGGTGGCAGCCATTGGACAGCACTGGATTGCTTGGTGGTCTGGTAGAAGACCTTGACCTTCTCAATGGATGTTGTTGGTAAGCTAATACTCAGCTGACGGCCCAAATAAGATTTGTTGGGGATGCCTGGATGGTGGGTGAAGGAGAGTGCCTCGCCGGTGGCAGGATCAACCACCTTGAAAATCTTTAAAAAGTTGGTATCCAAACGAACAACACGGGACCCAGGGGTAACATACTCCAGTGTATAGCTAGCAGATCCATGCAGGATGCTGGCATCAAAGTCCACGGTCACTTCCCAATCGATGTGCTTAACGGCAATCACATTGGGACTAGACAAAGAGGAACGGTCTTCTGGAGCAGAAGCCATTGTTTTTAGGCAGTCTATGGTGAATAAGATTGGTATCAGCAACGACGGCGCTCAGTAGGAAAGAAGTGAGAAGAGGTCAGTTTAATAATGAGTGATTCTATGGAAGTGAATGGCATTTGATCGACGAGGAGAGCGGCTCTCGAACTCTCGAGGCTTGAAATAAATAAATAAATAAATGAAAGGAAAGATTGTTTTTGAACCGTCAGTGAGCTTCCCAAAGATTTGACCAAAAGATCCCACGGCCACAAAAAATCGTCCCCAACCCCACCAGTGTCTTTCCCAACCCCGCCACTTTACTCCGTTTGTTGTCTCTGCTGATGGTCTCCTTGGGGCCGAAGCTGAAGCACTCGCGAAACGTATTTCCGCTTTGCTCGCTGCAAAGTGGGAACGCCCTTACTCAGTGGTGCGTGGCTACGTTAATGCTCGGCTCAGCCTCTAGCTATTCTTCGGGCCCGCCACCTCTGCATGCGTGGCTCTCGTGTCCCTGCTGGCACAATGAGCTACCGTCGTTCTCTCTGGGATGCCGATGGTGCACTTGCACTCTTCCGCTAATTTTTGCTCCCTTGTCCTTCCTGGTTTTCCTCCACGCACCCCCTTCCCTGCCCCCTTGTTTTGCCCTGCTCGCGTCCTCATTGCTCTCCCCGTATGCCCACCACACCGCCACCCACCACCGCAGCCACTGCTTTGCCTAGCCTCGCCCCCTCGCTCTTAACGTATCTATTTAGTATTTATTTATTTACGACCATTGAGCAAACATCTTTGCCTCAACAAGCCCCAAACCTCCAGGAACTCTGTCGGTACATAGGTTCCTTCGGAGGGAAGTCGAAGGTGTCTCGGCGAAAAACATCTCGGAGTTTCACTTCAGCGCCAACGGCCCTCGGTGGCATCAAATAAGCGCATACTGGTATTCGCCACCCCACGGACCAGTGACGGCCAAGCATGTACGGACCGGTAGTGCGTCCGGTCGATTGGGTCTCACGGTCCCTTGCTGGCTACGGTACTATTGACGTCTATGAGTACTATTTGAATGATTGGATTCGCGAATCGACCAGACCAAGCATCCTTACAAATCGTTGCTCTAGCTAGAGTTGAATTTGGCAAAGCTCCGGTGGACGCAACGATTGTCGTCTTCTTCGTTTGAATGGTCGCCCTTCAAAGGCGGATCCTCATTTAGTTAGTTAGTTGGAATTGAATCCGTCACTGCCACTTTAACCACATCTTCGCCGTTTCCCTCTGGGGGCCATGCCAAACACCAAATTACATGATCATCACGGTTGGACGAGCCTGGGATTGGTCTACGGTATGGTTCGCTCAAGTTGAGTGCACGGACGCATCAAGGAGAGATCGGTCGCGTCCCATACAGTACCGGTACCAGTGTTCCGAGAATGCGGGTGGGAGCAAGCTCGCACACCAATGCATAGCTGCGCGAGAAGAAAAAATGATCCACAAAGCAAGCCTTCGCGAACAAACTCGGCAACTTGGCTTGCATGGCTTCCCTGCGCTCCTCCCCCTTCACTTTGGCAAGCCGCAAATGAGACATACCTTGAAGTCCTTTCGACTCCAGTCCGGGAAGCCATCATTCATGAGTTTCTTCCGTTCTGCTTCCGCCTCTTCTGGGAGTTTGAATTCTGATAGTTTTTGTTCCATCTCACCAGCCAGCTTGGTGAGTTCCTCTTTGCTCTGTCCAGGTGCAGCGCCCAAGGCCATCATGGGAGCATGCTTAATTGTTTCTCGCATCTGTTTGATGGCTGCCACTTGTGCTTCCTTCTTTGTGGCAAGCTCACGCTCCAATTCGTTGAATTTCTCGATGCGGGCGGAGTCAAAGAGCTGGAAGTCTTGGAAACTACTTCCCTTCTTCCGTTTCTTGGCGGCAGCATCAGCAGCATGTGCCTTGAGGCCACTGGTCGTCCCTGTATTCATCGTCCCACGAAAGTACTCGTTCACATCGTAGTTGCGCTTTCTCTGTCGTTGCGGCTGATTGATAAAGTTCCCCTTGCCCTTGTCCGCACCACGGTAGTTCTTTCCGTCAAAGGCAAACGTGTCCGTTCCGTTATCATCGTCAGCAATCAAGCTAAAGTTGGCCAAGTTGTGCTTTGCATCGGTTTGCAACTTGGCTTGCATGGCTTCCGTGCGCTCCTCTCCTCGCGAAATCAACGCGTCAATGTCCTCATCAGTGTAGGTACCTCCCTTTCCACTGAGGATTTGGTCGGCTCCAAAGCGGACCATTTTCATCAAATCATCTTTCTCTAGCGAATTGTGCTGCTCGGCGACGGCTTGTGGTGCGGCACGGGGCATCCCTGTATGAAGGCTTGTCTCGGTCTGCTCTTTGATTTCTGCATCGGGTTAGGTTGGGCTTCGCGCGCGGTGCAACGAGTGTTCCTTTGGCGCGTGGTTTTTCTGCCTTCGGCTTTGGTCTCGGACGCCAGCACATACTACGAGGATATAGTAGATATTATAGCTCATCGAGTGGGTGGTTCTGGCGCGATTGTGGGCGGGGCTCCGTGTCTAATGAGGTGGTGCGCGGGAAGGTTGTTTATTGGTGCGGGATGGGCGGCGGACCGGGCCAGGGCTCCTGTGGTGTGGGTCTGCTGGTCGTACTCTTTTAAGGTGTACAGTAGAGTAAATATGGAAGGTCTATGGGAGGGGCAGGGAGCTTTGTTGATATTCGTAGGTTTCCATGAGGTTCTAGTCGGATCTATGGGTTGTCGCCATGGGACTGTCAGGCGGTGGGCCAAAGTTTGTGTTCGAGTCTGGGTCCCAGAGTTCGGCGCGTTGATGTGAAGCGCTTCGGGAGTAGGGTTGTGTGTAGACTGTAGCTTAGGACGCGGAGCCGGGGTGGGTAGGGGCTTTGCGCGCGTTTCGGGGTCTCGTTAGTCTTTCTCCTTAAGTTTGTTGACCGGGCGTGGAGGTTTTGTGGTGTGGTGTGTTCTGGGCTTAATGGGAGTCGTTTTCTTTATGTCACAACTCCTCTTATTTCTTCCGTCGGTGACGGGGGCGTGGGGGCGGGGAGTGTGGTGGTTTCTATGCCGATGGGGCGGTGTGTTGGCAGCTGTCTCATGGTTGGAAAGGCTTGATTGTTGGTGGACTGTTCGGGCATATCTGTTTTGCCGTTGCTGGGGACCTCTTTGTTGCGGGTCTCTTTGCCGGGGGGTTCAGTTGCGCGGTAGTTATCTCTTTCTGTCGCTGTGGGGACGCGGGGGTTTCGTGGGTGCTTCTGTTAGTGGATGGGGGATCTGTTTGTTGTTTGTGTGGTTTTTCGCGGCTGTGCTGAGTTGATGTTTGTGCGGGGTTTATTGGATTGCCTGATCCCGGTGTCGTATTTTTGGTGTCTGTGGAGGCGTTATGGCTTGTAATGCCGGGGGTTTTGGGGGTTTTCCGGTTTAGCGGACTAGGTGCCAACTCAAGCCATATCCGTTTTCTTCTGGTGCTCTCTGTGTCGTGCAAATGGGCTAGCCCAGTGTCAAGATGGTTCTGAAAATAAGCAGTTCAGGGATTTATGGTTGGCTTGATTGGTTGTACTGGCCAGTATGTCCGGCCCGGGCTACTTTGTGGCTATTGATGTTGGTTGACATCCAATTCCAATCTGCATTTGTGCACATCCTCCTATTTGCTGGGGGATCTCTCTGGGTATTCTTCCCTTTTAGTGTATGATAAGTTAGGTGTTGGCTCATGTTTTGGATTTGCTGTTGCTGGTGGCAGTCACAGTGGGGGTTGTCACTGGAGAATTGCAACGCTCCCAGATCTACGCCTGGTAGTGCGTGGAGCTATTTCGGCAAGTTTACTGGCTTTGGGAAGGGACAATGTTGCTAGCGCTGCCCGGCCCAACGATGCTGATTGTGCGGGGGGATTTGGGAGTGAGGTGGTGTGCTACAAAGTGGTCTCGGTGTGATCTCATGATTTGCCCAGTCCATCAATGTGGCTTATCGTTGGTTGCTGAGCTGACTTGTGATTATAGGAAGTTTCTTTGCGATGGTGGCGGTTCTTGGGTCTGATTTGCAACTGTTTTATGGGGGCCGGGGATAGCTGGTGGTGTTCAGTGGATCTTCAACCTGATGGGAGTAGGTCCAGACGCTCTATGGGGTTTTGGTGCCATTGTTATGGCTAATTCTGTGTTGCTATTAGGAATAGTTACGACCCTATCTGACCGGCGGGTCTCAAATGGGCAGATCCCCTGGTCGAGGGATTGTTGGTGTGGCCTGAAGAATAGGCATTTATACCGATGTGACCGTTCCAAGTACCCATCCCCGCTGTTTGGTTCATGTTTGTGTAATTGGTTGCCCGATCCTGTTATGTGGTGTGGTTGGTGCGCATGTTTTTGGTTTATGATTGCATCCGAAACGCCCCTTCGAGCAAATGTTGTTTGTATTTCTTGGGAGGTGCCTGGGGAGTTACTTTTGGTGTGTTCGTTTTTCCTAAGTGTCCGCGTTTTGAGCGTGGGTTGTCGCGGAGGGCTTCGTGTGTGTGGAGGCCAGTTCCTGGTGTGGTGGGTGGTGGAAGGTCTTTGATGGTTAAGTTGCGTTCTTAGCATTTTTGCGGGGGGGATGGGGTTCCCTGGGAGAGGTTGGTTTGGGGGTAACGACAGGAACCTTCCCAGGCTTCGGGGGTGAGCGGATTGAAGGGAAGAGTTGGCGGATGTACCGGCGCATGATTCGGAGAGGGGCGCGGCAAGTCTGTGGTTTGGTTGGGTATTTCTCGTCAAGGAAACAAGAGGCATGGGTCTGACCTTTCTTTGGAAAGCATTTCCAATCCCGGTTGGATTTTCCTCGTCCTCGGCCTCGTGACACTAGTAGGATGCTCGTGGTAGGCAGATTA